GGCCTCCCAAAGTGCTGGGATTATAGGCATGAGCTACCATGCCCAGCTTTTAATTAGTATAATTTAGTTTGTCTTACGAACTTGTATTTAAAGTAGAGAGAATTTTTTTTTTTTTTTTTTGAGATGGAGTCTTGTTCTGTCGCCCAGGCTGGAGTACAGTGGCTCAATCTCGGCCCAATGCAACCTCTGCCTCCTGGGTTCGAGAGAATCGCTTGAAAAAATTTTTCAAGCCTCCTGAGTAGCTGGGATTATAGGCACATGCCACAACACTCAGCTAATTTTTGTGTTTTCATTAGGGACAGGGTTTCACAATGTTGGCCTGGCTGGTCTTGAATTCTTGACCTCATGATTCACCTGCCTTGGCCTCCCAAAGTGCTGGGATTACAGGCGTGACGTACCATGCCCAGCCTAAAATTTTTTTCTAATAACATAGCTGAATTGCCCCTTACTGATTGATTATTTTCTTACCTCTAATTTTTGGTTTGTGATCTTCAATTTTAAAAAAGGGGTAGCTGGACTGTTTTTGCCTTCAACCAAATTTTAGAATTTTAGGAAGAAACGGTAAGATATATCTGTGATTTTTTTTTTTCAACTTGTATTTTCCATTATAGAAAGACTTGTTTAAAGTAAAAAACAAAACAAAAACAAAACTTTGCCATGATTTTTTGAATGGGTGCAACTTTTTGTATGTGTTCTAGGAGGTAATACAGATTTTCATTGAAGACAACTTAACCTTGAGTTTACCTGTCCAGTTCCGACAGTCAGTACTAAGAGAACTCTTTCAGAAAGCTCAACAGGGGTAAGTGAGTAAGTTGAAAAATTACTTTTTGGTTTTTGAATAAAATAGCAATGCATTCTGGTTTATGAAAACCACACCTTCAAATTACTTTTATGACTTTGACATTGTTTTCATGTTGTTAATGTATGGGAAATAAACATAGCCAGAGGAGCCACTCTGGTGTTCCTCTATCTAGTCCATTTTAAAAGTGCTTGGAGGGGCCAGGTGCCGTGGCTCATGCCTGTAATCCTAACACTTTGAGAGGCCGAGGTGGGTGGATCAATTGAGGTCAGGAATTCCAGACCAGCCTGGCCAACATGGTGAAACCCTGTCTTTACCAAAAAATATAAAAATTAGCTGGGCGTGGTGATGCACGCCTATAGTCCCAGCTACTCAGGAGGCTGAGGCACAAGAATTGCTTGAACCCAAGAGGTGGAGGTTGCTGTGAGCTGAGATTGCACTACTGCACTCCAGCCTGGGTGACAAAGCAAGAGTCCAATACAAAAAAAAAAAAAAAAAAAAAATGCTTGGGGGAAAATTATGTATAGCAGAATTTCATTCTGTTATATGTAACTGATATGTAACTAAATTGTCCCTTGATAAATTCAAAACCTGTCTGCTTGCTTTCTCCCCATGATTTGGTATATATTTATTAGTATGCTTGACTTGCTTGAATATCCTAAAATTTTACCTCTCAAAAACAAATGGCTTATTCTTGTGAATATAATTTTGTAATATACACTTTTCTTTTACACTAAAAATAATGCTAGTTGATCTGCTTTTGTGTTCTACAGAAATGAAGCTCTAGATGAAATCTGTTTTAAAGTTTGTGCCTGTAATACAGTCCGTGATATACTGGAAGGCAGAACAATTAGTGTTCAATTCAACCAGCTATTTCTTAGACCGAATAAAGAGAAAATAGACTTTCTTCTTGAGGTATGACCTGTTTTTCTTTCCCATTTTGATTTATAATTTGCTTTAAGCTTACCAGTAACCTCCAATCCAGTGTCTTTTTTTCTATCTGCCTTGCCTTTCTGTGTTCGACAGTTGGCACTTTTGACAGATTATGCCCTTCTACCTTGTCTCCCACTGTAACTCTTTTTCTAGTTCTCCCCCATGTTTCTTTGGAACCTTTATTGGATTCTCCTCAGTCCTTCATTGACTTCTCCTTTGCTCTTCCTTTAGTGTTTCTGTTTATAGAACTTTTATCTTTGGCTCACTCATTTTTTATTCACTTCCAAAGCTTCACTCATTTGTTTCATCAGCTGTTTACTAAGAACTCCCAAATCAAACCTCTAGTCTCTCCTGTGTGCTGTGGGGTCTGTGTTTCTACTCCATCACTCTACCTCTGTCTTAACAGTCTTAATGTTACAGATATTGAGAGAAATATATAAAGCACAGATAATACCACTTCCAAAAATACAGCGTTGCCAGCACTCTAGAAGCGTTTGTTGTGGTCTTTACAACTTCCTCTGCCTTCCCTTGAGGCAGCCACTGCCCTGGACTTCTGTGATCATCATTTTCTTGCTTTCTTTTCAGTTGTATCCCCTCTGTATGCATCCTGAAAGAACAATCTTTAATTTGCCTGTTTTGAACTTCATATAAGTGGAATCATACAATATGTGCTCTTTGTCTTCGTTCACTAAACATTATATTTGTGAGATTTATTCAAGTTGTATAGAAACATAATTTTTTTCATTGCTTTAAGATGTTAGAAAATTATATGGACCACGCCACAGTTTCTTCATTCTTATGATGGGAGACATTTGTGTTTTTTATAGTTTATGGCTGTATACACATACGATGATGAATATTTGTGTTTATCGTTTTTGCTGCTTGGAACATACTTGTACATGTATCTAGGTGCACATACGCACCAGTTTACGTTATATATCTCGGGAAAAGTATATCTGCAACATTAGTTTTTAATATCAAGTAGTTTGTACCACCAGCATGCCTGAGTGTTCTCATCGTTCAGCATCCTTGTTAACATTTGATATCGTCAGATCACCTGTGAGGTGGTTTTCTAACAGTACCTCATTGAGGTTTTCATTTCTGCAACTCTTCATTTAGTTTTTACTCATGGATTTTGTTTTTTGAGGTACCTTTTTCAAGTGTTATGCCTCTTTTTTTTCTTTTCTTTTCTTTTCTTTTTTTTTT